GAGGGTTTGGGGAAACCAAGGCAGCTAGAGTTCACAGGACAGAGTACCAGGGTGAGGAGGGCTGCTCAGAGAACCCTGCAGATCAACAGAGGTTCCCTTTGAGTATTCAAGAGAGTATTACTGATCAGAGCATGTAAGTAAGGAACTACCTACCTGAGGCCAGGGAAAGAACCACCTGAAAGGGTTAGCATGGACAGCACTTAGCACTCACAAAGGGCCAGGAACAGCACCTTCAGAGAAACTCTTAATTCTGAGGACACTGGGTAGAATACTCAGAAGATCTTGCCTCACTCAGTACTGGTGCATAATTACTCTAGATGGAGCACTCTTACAGACCAGACTAACAAATGACAGAAGATCCAAAAGGATCAAACGATTCCTAAGTAACTTAATTGCATATCCAAACATAGGAATATATATCCAACACCCAACAAAGTAAAATTTACAATGCCTGACATCAAAGATTACAGGCATATAAAGAAGGAAAACATGTCTCATGAAGATGAGAAAAATCAATTGATACTGACCCAGAACTGACCTAGGTATCAGAATCAGTGAATGTTAAAAGAGTTAGAATAACTGTGTTCCATATGTTCAAAAACTTAAGGTGATGCACAGAAGAGATATCTAAAATAAATAAAACCAAATCCAATGTCTAGAAATGAAAACTTAAAAATCTTAGAAGAAAAATACACTGGATGGAATTAATGGAAGATCGGATACTAAAGATCAGTAAACTTGAAGACGTGACAATAAATACAGAATATGGAGAGAAAAATACAAAAAAAAAAAAAAAAAAGTCCAACAAAAGCACCAGTGAGCTGTGGGTCAACTTCAAGTGGTCTGATAAACATTAATTATAATTAGAGTCCCCAAAATGAGAGGGGGAGGAAAACAGAAAAAAAAAATTAGGGAAAAAAAAGTGGATGACATAATACTCTCTGTGGTAGTTGTGTGTCGACTTGGCTGGGCCTGGTTTTGAGTGGTTGGGCAGCTGGATGTAGTTTATTCCCCATAATGAGACCGGTAATCAGCTCCATGGTGGAATCTCCTGGAGCAGCTTAGTAGCTGCTTTAGGGAGGTGGCTGCTCTCAGCATATAAGCAGCAGCATTGAGAAAGGTCTCTGGAGGTTTTGGCATGCTTGAATCCTGCATGTAGCCAAGTTGTTGTACAGCAGCCTGCCATGTTGTCTGCCGATCTTGGGACGTTAATGGACTTGAATTTGTGGCCTGCTGTGTAGTTTGATAATTTTGGGACTGTGCCACTGTACTTGTCAACCTCAGGTTTGTCAGCCTCAGCAGCCAGCAGCTGCCTGAATGAAGAGACAACCTATAGCTCCAGTGGGCCAGAAGCAAGAGGCAGAGCTGAAGCCCAAGGTCAAGGGGCTTTCACCCAGCCCCTAGAGCTGGGACTTTGAACTCGGACTTCTAGTCTCCTAAACTGTAAGATAATAAACTGTTCATTAAAGCCATCCACCTATTTGTGGTATCTTGTGTTAGAGCGGCACTACTTACTTACTCACTGCTGTTGAGCTGGATCCAACTCATAACAACCTCTCCTTGGGTTTCTGAGGCAATATCCCTACAGAAGTAGATCACCCAATCTTCCTTCCGAAGAGTGGCTAGTGGGTTTGAACCGCCAGCCTTCTGGTTAGCAGTCAAATGCCTTAGGCACTACTCCATCAGAGCTCCCACCAGAGCAGCACTAGAGAAGCAAAATGGAAATTGGTACTGAACGGGGTGCTGCTCTGACAGATACCTAAAATGTGGAAACAGGAGTAGAGTGTGTCCTTGACCTGAGATCCCTGTGCTGAGACCATGGCAGGGACACCAGCAGACAGACACTGCAGCAGAGACGGCAGCAGCAAAGCCAAGAGACTAGCATTCAACAGCAACAGCCTTACCAGCCCAGGAGTGAGAAAGCTGAGTACCTTCTGGGTGGAGTGGGTTGCCTTCAGGCATTAATTGGGAAAAGGTAGAGACCAAGGAAATAGGAAGCCAAGCTGCCTCAGCTTCAAAGAATAGGACCATGGCCTCTGGGGTTGAACTACCACAGCCTCCTATGTTTCAGAGTCAGACCTTCACCAACTTGGTTCTGGTGTGTGGGGCTGTCGTTCATGAGGGTCAGTAGGGTGAGGCCATAGCCACTGTCCAAAAGTGAGGGGGCAGGCTGCCATGCTCAGGGGGCAGAGGAATGGGACCTACCAGCCCAAGGGGGTGAGGTCAGTACTTAGATAAACTAGAGGACTGTAGCCACCCAGTGAAGGAAATGTGTACGGATGCCAAGGGGTGGAATTGTGGTAGTTAAGTTGCCTGGTTTTGAGTGAGAGGGCAGCTGGATGTAGTTACTCCCCATGATGAGATTGGTAACCAACTCCATGGTGGAATCTACTGGAGCAGCTAAGTAGCTGGCTTAGGGATGTGATCTGCTTTCAGTACATAAGAAGCATTGAGAAAGGTCTCTGCAGCTTTTGGCACACTTGAATCCTACATATAGCTGAGTCATCATTTAGCAGCCTGCCATGTTGTCTGCCGATCTTGGGACTATTATTTAATAGACTTGAATTAGTGGCTTGTCGTGTGGTTTGAAAATTCTGGGACCGTGTCACTGTGGTATCTTCTGTTATAGCAGTTCTAGAGAACCAAAACACTCTCCAAATTTAATAAAACTATAAATCTAAAGATGAAAGGATCCCAACAAACCCCAAGTACAAGAAATATGAAGAAAATGACACCAAGGCACATCATAATCAAACTGCTCAATACCAGTAATAAAATACTTTTAAAGTAGTGAGAGAAAAAAGACATATTATATACAGAAGACGAAAGATAAGCATGACAGCCATTTACAAAAATGCTATTTATATAGCATCAAGCAATATGAAATACTTATGGATAAATCTGATACAACCTCACTGCCTTCGAGTCAGATCCGACTCTGGGGCCCCTCCTTGGGCCTTGGTTTCCAAGGCGGTATCTCTACGGAAGTAGATTGCCCAATCCTCCTTCTGAGGAGTGGCTGGTGGGTCTGAACCGCCAGCCTCCTGGTTAGCACTCAAATACCTTAGGCACTACACCACCAGAGCTCCTCACCGAGAGATATTAAAGATCCAAATAAATGGACCTAGACCACATGCATGGGTAGGAAAAAATATTGTTATAAATTCTCCCCAAATTGATTTATAGGTTAAAAGGGAAAGAAGGACAGGCCATAGACCAAAGAAACAGAATAGAGAGTCTAAAACAAAATGCACAAAAGTGGTTCAGTTGGGTTTTGATAAAGGTTCAAATGCAATTCAGTGTGGAAAGTAGTTTTTTCAACAAATGACATTAGAACAGCTGAAGATCCATATAGAAAAGAAAATTAATCTTGACCTACACCTCATACTATATTCAAAAATTAACTTAAAATTGATCATAGACCTAATTGTAAAGCCCAAAAATATCTAGAAGAAAAACGGGAAAATCTCTGTGACCTTGGATTAGGTGAAACTTTCTAAGATACAACATCAAATGCATACTCCACAAGAGAAAAATCTGAAAACTGGAGTTCATCAAATAAAAACTTTTGTTCCTTGAAAGACGCTGTTAAGAGAATGAAAAGACAAGCCTCAAAGTGGGGCCTTTGCAAGGCATGTATCTCATAAAGAATTGTTAAGTAACTTTCAAAATTCAAAAATAAGAAACAACCCAGCTTAAAAACTGGACAAAAGATTTGAACAGACGTTTCATCAAAGATATGGGGATGATAAATAAACGTGAAAAAATGTTCAACATCATCGATTTGAGGGAAATGCAAATTAAAACCACAATATTGTATCACTACACACTTAATAGAATAGTAAAAATGAAAAAGACTGATCATACTAAGTGATGATAAGAATGTGAAGGAACTGGATTCCTGTGCTCTAGGAGAGGCAATGGAATATGGTGCAACCACTTTAGAAGACAGTTTGACAATTTCTTTAAAAATTAAAGGTATACCTACCATACCCACTGCCGTCAAGTTGATTCCGATTCATAGTGACCCCCACTGTGTTTCCGAGGCGGTAAATCTTTATGGAAGTTTATTCCCCAGTCTTGCTTCCATGGAATGGCTGGTGGGTTTGAATGACCAACTTTCTGGTTAGCAGTCAGATGCCTTAGGCATTGGGGTACCAGAGCTCCTATACCTACCATATGACTTGGTTATTTCACTCTTAGCTATTTACCTAAGAGAAAGTATGTCAGCACAAAGACTTATACACAAATGTTCATAAGAGGTTTATTTGTAAGAGCCAAAAACTGGTTACATGAGAAATGGCCATCAATAAGTGAATTGATAAATCTAGTCAATGAAATACTGCTCAGCAATTAAAAAAACAAACAAAAAAACCCCTTGATACATGCTACCACATGGATGAACTTCATAATTATACTAAGTGGAATAAGCCTGACAAAAAGAGAGTATATATTACATGATTCAACTTACATAAAATTCTAGAAAATGCAAACTTAAACGTAGTGGTGGAAAGCAGATCAGTGTTTGCCTGGGAAATAGGGGTGGATGGCATGTGGTGAGAAGCGGGAGGGAGAGGTTACTAAGGGGCACAAGGACATGGTGGGTAAATTCATTATCTTGATTGCGGTGATAGTTTCATTTGGTGTATATGTATGTCAAATTGTATACTTGAAATACGTGCAGTCTATTTTATGTCAAGTGTTTCCTAGTAAAGCTATTAAAAATATTAATGGACTTCACATACTAGAGATTCCAGCAGTAGAATTATTATTTTCATTCTTCAAATATTAATTCCTTTGGTACATACTTTGTTTTACTTTGGCAAAAACGCTTTAGAACTTTATTTTTAAAGCTGCAACAAGGAAAGCAAATGGTATAAACATCAGCTCACTGAAAAACAATGTTGTCTATACTAAAAAAAAGGTATAGAGTGAAAATGAGGAATTCTAATTTATAGATGAAACCAAATCTGACCCAATTCAAAACTGACCACTTTGAGTCAATTAATTGGTGTCTGCTGGTCATTTCTGTCCTGCACACTGCTGTGGTTTCCAGCAGTGGAGCCCTCAGGTTCCAAAATGTGGACTTTCGTTTTCAGTTGTTCTCCAAGCTCCTCTATCAGAGGCCCAGACCCTCCTGCAGCATGAGAAGGGGGAAGTGGTTTTCCCTGATTGCCCTCAGACCTCAGGAAGGCCATGTTCTTGCATACTCCACTACCATCAGTAAGCAGGACACTGCTTTCTTCAAGGGGACCCAGCAAACATCCTATAGTCTTGGATTCATTCTCTTGTAGCTTGTCTTCTTCTGAATCTGAGTCTTGGGTTCTGGAGGATGAGGTACTGTCTGATTCCTCTGAATCACTTGCCTCAGGACTGGAGCAAGGTGTGTGCTGCCTGGAAACTGAGCAGGCTGCTTTTAATGCAGTTTCTTCCTCCTGGACAAGAAGGGCCGCTGCTTCCAGTTCTTCCAATTCTAATCCCAGCTGGGCCTTTGTAAGGGAGTCCTTTTTTAAGGCTTCTGCAAGAGCTGCCAATTTTCTGGACCTTGAAAAATACATATATTTTCAAATGTCAGAACTATTCATTAATGGCCTGGGGACAACAGGGTACACTGCTTTTAAAAAATAACAAAATAAAGATGGATCCATACTTTACATGCTACACCAGGATAAATTCCAAATGAATCAAAGATATAAATGTAAAAAAGGAAACCATCAAAATACTATAAGGAAACACTGGAGAAGTCTTTTATGAGCCTAGAATGAGGAAGGCCTTTCCTTTCCAACAATGACTAATAATTCAGAAGCCACAAAAGACTGCTAAATCCAACTAAATAAAATGATCAAAAGGTCAAAAGACAAATGTAAAACTGTTAAAAATATGTACAACTCATATTATAGACCGAGGCCTAATTCCCATAACAGAGTTCCTGAAAATAGATAAGAAAGTAACAATCCAACAGAAAAATGGGCCAATGATACAGTAGACAATTCTCACAAATGCAAATACAAAAATGACCTTTAAATATATGAAAAGATACTCAACTCCAGTCAAATAAGAGAAATACAAATTAAAATCATACTGTGACATATTTTTTTATCTATCATATTGGCAAGAAAACAAACATTTGATAATGCTCCTCTCTTATCAAAGCTGCAGGGGAAAAAAGGTGACTTCATACATTGTTTCTGGGAGATTAAATAGGTACAACCCCTATGAAGAATTTGGCAGTAACTTTCACAACTGAAATACACACACACACACACACACACACGATGGCACTTAACAACAACAACAAATACACACACACTCGTGACCCAGCAATCCCACTTCTAAAAATGTAGCACATACACTTAAGAGTTCCTGGGTATGCAAATGGTTAATACACTTGGATGCTAAGCAAAAGGTTGGTGGTTCAAGTACACCCAGAGACACCTTGGAAAAAAGGTCTGGAGATCTGTTTCTAAAATACCAGCCACTGAAAATCCTACAGAGCAGTTCTATTCTGATACACATGGGGTCACCGTGAGTCAAAATTGATTTAATGGCAACTGATTAACACATACGCTTGCTATATGACATATGTACAATTATTAATTGTAATTGTTAATTAAGAGATCTCTGGTGCCATAGTGGTTAAACCATTCAGCTACTAACCAAAAGGTTAGCAGTTTGAACCACCAACTGCTCCACAGGAGAAAAACAAGGCAGTCTGCTTCCATAAAGACTTACATTCTTAGAAACACTATGGGGCAGTTCTGTTCTGTTCTAAAGGGTTGCTATGAGTCAGAATTGACTTGATGGTGGTGAGTTTGGTTTGGTTTGGTATTTATTAAGGCATTGTTTTTAATACCAAACAACGGAAACAATCAAATGTCCATCAATGTGAGACTGGTTAAACAAGTTATATATTTATACAAAGGAATACCTTACAGCTATATAGAGAATGAAGGTTTCCATGGGTTAATCCAGATATACGGTTTAGCAAAAAAAAAAACATAGCATATATACCATATGTATATACTACCTCTTAGGGAATTTGAGGGGGAAAAAAAAGAAAGAAAGAAAAACAAATATTTGTATTTGCTTGTGTATTTATCAATAAACTCTGGAAAGCCTCAGAAAACAGGAACAGTAACTTATGAGGGGGATACAGTGAGAATGGGAAAGATGGGGGAGGACAGCGGATAACAGAGAGCAGACTGCACTGCATATTGTTTTATTTTTTAAATCACATGAATGTAGTATCTGTTCAAAACTTTTAAATGTACAGAAAAGAAAAAAGCACTATTAGAGAAAAGCACAGAGTACTTTTGCTTTTTATCAGAAAACCATTTCATATTATTTCAGAGGATATTTTCCCCTGAATTACCTGCTAGATTTATAACATTACATTGCATTGAATAAACCTTTTCATTATTGACTTGAATGCATTAGTTGTTTTGGTTTTGTTTTTAAAAGAAGCAATAAAAAGCATACTGCACTTCTCCAAACACCATCTCTTTACTGTTCTGGAGAGGAAAACTTCCTGATGTGACAGCTGAAAAAACGCAGCAGTGAGTGAAAATGTAAGCATGCTAACATGGCTTCTGTTGCTGTTAGTTGCTGTTATGTTGATTCTGACTCATGGTGACTCCATGTGTGCAGAACAGGACTGCACTATGTGGTGCTAAAGGAGCTCTGGTAGCACAGCGCCTAAGGCAACTGACTGCTAACCAGAAGGTTGGGGGTTCAAACTCACCAGCCACTCTGTGGAATCAAGACTGGGCAATCAACTTCCATAAAGATGAACTGCCTTGGAAACCCAATGGGCGTTGCTATAAATCAGAATTGACTGGATGGCAGTGGGTTTATGTAGTGCTGGTGAATAATACTGAAAGTACCATGGACAAAGAATGAACAAATCTGTCCTGGAAAAAGTGCAGCTAGAATGCTCCTTGGAAGTAAGAATGGCCAGACTTTGTCTCACCTACTTTGGTCATGTTGTCATAGAAGGGCCCATTCCCTGGAGAATGATAGCATGCTTGGTAAAGTGGAGGGTCAGTGAAGAAGGGGAAGATCTTCAATAAGATGGATTGACACAGTGGCTGCAACAATGGGCTCAATTACAGCAAGGATTGTGAGGCTGGCACAGGACCGGGCAGTGTTTTGGTCTGTTGTATACAGGGTGACTAGGAGTCAGAGCTGACTTGATGGCACCTAACAACAACACAGGATTTGTAAGGTAGTCACCTTTCAGAAGCAGAATGCCACGCCTGGCTTTTGAGATATCTCTGGGTAGGTTTGAACCACCAACCTTTAGGCTAATAGTTAAGCACTTAACCATTTGTGCCACCCAGGAAATCCTGACATAGCTTCCAGTTTTCCCCAGTTCCAAAGATTCCATGAGTACACAAAACATTTAGCAGCTTTAAGACAAACTAGATGACAGTAAGCTCACAAGATAAATTGTCATTTGTAAAAGTGCAGGCATAGTCCATCTCACAACACTGGGAAAATGAAGCTTCATTTCAACTGAGCTGATATGAATGGATGGTGCAATGGGAATGACTGAACAAAGATTGTATTTGTCATCTAAGTGCCTAGATGTTATCAGAGAGCCCTTTTTATCAAGGTATTTCTAATAATATTGATCTTTGTGAAACAAACAAAAACAATGAGTTGCCATTGAGTTGATTCCAACTTATGGCTGCACCATGTGTGTCAACGTCCAACAGTGCCTCATAGGGTTTTTTCCTGCTGATTTTTCAGAGGCATCATCGGACTTCTGGTGAGGGACCTCTTGGTGGGCTCAGTCATCCTACATGAGACCTCTGTTCAGGAATGCTATGCCTCTGCTGCTGCTTCACAGGTATAACCCCAGACACAGAAGCACCATCACAGGAATGTTTCAGGCTGCAGCAGAGGTAGAACAGGGTGACTCAGACAGGGCCAGCAGCCATCACTGATGGGTTACCTTTCTCTTAAGCAAATGAAATTCTGGGTTTCAGTGAAGAAATTGTCAGCTGGAGTCAATTAATGATTCACAAAAAGGCTATAAAACCACGTTGAACTTTTATCACACTTGAGACATTTTTAAAAGCAGAGTTAGGGAATAAGATAGTTGCAATAAAATTTAATCCATGTCTCAGATAGACCATTATATATTTTGAAATCTTGTCTACCAGGCAAAGGAACTGGAGAGAGTTGGTAGATCAGTTTAAAACATCTCTGGCCCAGTTACCCTAGGACTTCTCACTGAAAGGAAGTCCTCTCTAGGTAGTGACACTCAGCTTCAAGGGATAGAGAGACATAAAGTGGGGGAAAAGGGACAATATCTTTTTGTAAATAATATTAGAATAAAAATTTTAAATTAAAAACTTGCTTCCATGACCATGCATATCACATTTTTAACAGCCGCAACAAATACTTGTGACAATATAGGAAAGATGATGTTCCACAAGCATCATTGCACTTGTTCCTAACATCAATCCTGTGAATCAGGTGAAGTGGCATATGATCAAGAACAAATGTATCGAAGGAAGAAGTAGAAGCTACACTGAAGGAAGTGGCAAAAAAACAAGGCACCAGGAATTGATGGAATACCCACTGAGATGTTTCAACAAATGGATGTTGCACTGGAGGCACTCTTTCATCTATGCCAAGAAATCAGTCCAACTGACTGGAAGAGATCCATATCTGTACCCATTCCAAACAAAGGTGATCTCACAGAATGTGGAAATTATCAAACAATATCATTACTATCACACACAAGTAAAATTTTGCTGAAGATAATTAAAAAACGGTTGCAGCAGTATATTGACAGGGAACTACCAGAAATGCAAGCTGGATGGAGAAAAGGAATTGTAATGAGGGATATCATTGCTGATGTCAGATGGATCCTGGCTGAAAGCAAAGAACACCAGAAAGATATTTACTTGTATTTTATTGACTATGCAAAAGCATTTGATTGTGTGGATCATAACAAATTGTGGATAACATTAAGAATGGTAATTCCAGGACACTTAGTTGTACTCCCGAGGAACCTGTACACAGATCAGGAAGCTGTTGTTCGAACAGAACAAGGAGATGCTGCATGGTTTAAATTCAAGAAATCAGCATAAAATCTGTATGCTGAACAAGTAATCTGAGAAGCTGGACCATATGAAGAACACAGCATCAGGACTGGAGGAAGACTCACTGACAACCTGTAATATGCAGACAACACAACCTTGCTTGCTGAAAGTGAAGGTGATTTAAAGCACTTACTGATGAAAATTAGACTACAGCCTGCAGTATGGATTACACCTCAATATAAAGAAAATGAAAATCTTCACAACTGGACCAATAAGCAGCATCATGATAAAAGGAGAAAAGATTGAAGTTGTCAAAGATTTCATATTACTTGGATCCACAATCAACACCAATGGAAGGAGCAGTCAAGAAACCAGACATTGTATTGCACTGGCCAAATCTACTGCAAAAAACCTCTTTAAAGTGCTGAAGATCAAAGATGTCTCTTTAAGGCGCACCTAACCCAAGCCATGGTATTATTTTCAATAGCT